TTAGAAGGCTCAATAAACGTAGATTAAATGCTATTTTTTCTGAGGAACTACCCTCCTGTCAACAGAAATATTAACATAATAGAAATAGACCAATGTGTAGAAACTGTTACTGACACATCCAAAAGAGCAATGGATGGTTCTATACCCAAAACATCCTAAATTTTATTAGTGAGAAAAAAAGACTACGTAGGATATTATATCGCAAGGGAGATCCGGGCAGATTTGATATTTTGAAAGCCCAAATCAGAAACTTGGACACGATTATTCAGGGTGCTACTTCTGAGTATGAAAGTACTCAATGGACGAGTTTTCTAAATAGTATCCAAATGAACGATAGGGTTTATGATAAGGTTAAAGCTGCTGCTGGGGTAAAGCGCGGTATTATCCCCGACCTGCGCGATGACAATGATGACCTCATTGTCCTCGATGCCTGCAAAGCTAATTTAATCGCTGATACCATACAAAGATTTGAAGTTTCCCATAATATTCCCGACAGGTATATTAATTATGAAACTTCAGCCTTTGATATGAGTTCTCCACTTGTGCAGTTTTCAGCTAATTTTCCTGCTGATAATGGCACCCCTAATAACCCAAATTTGTTGCGCCAGCACAATTTTATATCTCCTTTAGATATAGGGTCCGCACTCAAATGCAGGTCAAATAAAAAGTTTAGTGGACCGGACGGTATCCCAGACATAGTACTAAGATCCACAGATAGTACTTCATGGCAAACCATTTCTATATTATTTAACCACGGCATTAACTTGGGATACTTCCCATCTGCGTGGAAAATTTCTATAACGGTTCCGATTCTAAAACCCGGCAAAGACCCATCAAGAGCGGACAGCTATAGACCTGTTAGTCTTTTGTCAGCGCTCGGCAACTTACTTGAATATTTTATTTTAAAAATAAATATTAATAATGTCATAGAAGATAGGGATTTTCCAACTGACAACCAATTTGGTTTCAGGAGGGGACTTTCTACTTCACATGCTCTCACAGCCCTAGGAACACACGTGAATAAAGGCCTAAACAATAGGCAAAATACTATAGCCGTTAGCCTTGATTTCTCCAAGGCATTCGATAGCGTGTGGCACGAAGGAATAGTTTTCAAAATGAGCAGACTTAGCTTCAACCCCAAAATCTGTCGGCTAGTATCAAACTTTCTTAAAAATAGAAAATTTATGATCAGGGTCAAAAATGATTTCTCCACAATTAGAGACATACTTGCTGATGTACCCCAAGGATCCCTTTTGGGTCCAGTACTATTAAAAATATATTTGTGTGATATCCCCAACCCCCTGTGGGGGATCTGCTGCGCATATATGCTGACGACATTCTTGTCGCAGCTTCTGGTGCGCATACGGAGAACACAAACACACGTATAAATGAGTATTTAGGACGTTTATCAGCCTTTTTTGAAACATGGAAATTGAGCCTTAACGTCAATAAATGTGAAGGAATTGTGTTTGAAGGTCAAAAAAAAACATCTTTTCCACAGCGCCAGAGGGTTTGAGGCAGTACTCACAATCTCGAGACAACAAATTAGGGTTTCTGACCAAATTAAATAATTGGGAGTAATATTTCACTCCAAATTTGACTTCATAAATCATGTAGACTTTGTTTAAGCGAAGGCAAAGAAAATGTTTTGGGCTTATCAGCGGATAATCCGGCAATCTAGTGGAATAAATCAAGAGTTTAAATTATTGATATAAAAACAAATAATTAGAACAATAATTTCCTACGCATTTCCCGTATGGTTCGGCATTTCTTCTCATCAAATGGAAAGAATTAGACAATGGGAAAGAATGATATTATGATCCTGTCTTGGTATGAGGCCCCAAATGAACGAAAACGGGATATGGATGCAGCCTCATAACAGTGAAGTGTACAGAAACACCCCCTTTGACAGAATAGATGTATTTTTAGTGAAATCTTCTTTAAAATTCCTAGAAAATGCACGTTTCGTGAATAATAATATAATAAGTAAGAGTTTAGTAGAATATAGTAGTATAGAACAGCGAATCAAACTACCATGCTCCTGGTAGCCTTGGCACTTTGAACCGAGAAGGTCTCCTTTACATTGACAATAATCTACACCAAACCGATCAGTAAACGATGAAGCGCTCTTTTCTTTTGTAAATATATATTCATTATTTCTCTAGCATAAGTTAATTTTAAGTAAAAACAAAAAATGTTATGAACTCCATTTTATGATTCCTGTTTTTGGAGTTATACTGAATAAAGATATAAAACTAGTATTACGGATATGTTTGTATACCTGATACAACATATGTATGTATAATAGACATAGACTTAAAAAAATACTAATATGCTAAGTAATATAAAGTTATTGAAATATTGTTTATGGATTTTGGAATCAATAAATTTGAAGCAATTTGAATTTGAAACCGCCACTAACAAAAATAATAGTACACATAAATTTGCCCCTTCTATTTAATTTTTTTCAGGAATGATGTATGAAATATGTTTTTTTCCTTTTCAGCTAAATTTTTAAATGTTTTATACGCATTTTAAGAGATTTGAATATGAATTTTCTCCGTATGGAATTACAAAATTATTTTTGTCCGATGTATTTAGAGAAATTGGTAATAATTTATTATTTTCAAAAATTGAAGAAAATAATTTATTTGTTGATAATTTTGATGTAAAATATAATTAAAAGTATTATAATATGAAATGCCAATAATATCTACCTTTGAAGTTGATCGAAAAACAATTTTGTAAAACGCAATTAATTTCATGACATTTCCAAGTGTTCTAGGTGATATTTGGCTGTAAAGAGGAATTTCTTTTTGGGAATATTTTTTCAGAAAATTGACAAAAATTTGACAAAATAACGTAGAAAATGGCTTTTAACACTATTTTTTATAAATTATAGAACAAATTATGTTAAATTTAATAAAAAATATTGCAAAATAAAAATACGTTTGTCACTGAATGCCTGTACATTGGTAGTATAAAGTATTCCGGGGATTTTGTAACTTTTCCCCGTAAATTATAACTTTTTGTGAATAATGTTATATTTTGATATAAATAAACAAATTCTGAAATGTTTTTTAAGAAATTTTTATAAAACTTATTAAGATTTGAGCTTTCAAATTTATTTCAAGAAAAACTTTTCTTCATTGAAATTATGCCAACAAGAGGATTTCTGCTGTCATAGACCACATAATAATTTCAATTTTTTCACATAGTAAAATATGAAATTTCATCGATATTTTTCTTTGGTCCTGAAGTAAACATATCAGGCTACATTTTCAAAAAGAATTTTCAGTTAAATTTTCATAAAAAATTTGATTTTTTTAAATTTTAGTTGGAAATTTGTGATTACATATTTATAATCTGCCAAGTTAAAAGTTTATAATTCACAAACGGCAAGTGATAATTACACCAAACTTTCTTTAAAACATAGCCTGAAATCTATACTTTAAAGGTATAAAACATTTTTAGTTAAAATAATCAAAGCTTCTTCAGGAAAATTTAATTTCTCCGAAAACTTTTGTAAATAATTAAACACGCTTCCACACAATCTTTCGAAAAATTTACCAATTGACTACTATGCACATCTCATCTTTTCGATGTACCTACACTTTAGCTCGCCGCTAACAAAATAATAGTACACATAAATTTGTGAGTGTATTTGTGTTAACAGTGAAATATAAACCAAACAGTGAATAACCATGTCTGACGCCGCCGTTGTTGAAGCCACCGCCTCCCCAGTTGCCGCTGTAGAGAAAAAGGCACCAAAAAAAGCCGCTGCCAAAGCAAAGAAGCCATCAGCTGCCCCTACCCACCCTCCAACCCAGCAAATGGTTGATGCCGCCATCAAGACCCTGAAGGAACGTGGAGGTTCATCATTGCTCGCCATCAAGAAATACTTGGCCAGCACCTACAAAGTAGATGCCCAAAAATTGGCCCCCTTCATCAAGAAGTACTTGAAAGGTGCCGTTGCCAGTGGAAAATTGATCCAAACTAAAGGTAAGGGTGCTTCTGGTTCATTCAAATTGTCTGCTTCGGCCTCCAAGGAACCCAAAGCCAAGACTGCTGAAAAGAAGAAGAAGGCCCCAGCCGCTGGTGACAAAAAGAAGAAGGCTGCCGCCCCTAAAAAGGCCGCTGGTGAGAAGAAGGCAGCTGCCAAAAAACCCTCTGCCGCCAAGAAGACCGCTGAAAAGAAGAAGGCCGACAAAACAAAGGCAAAGGCTGCCAAGAAAACCGGTACAGTTAAAGCTAAACCAGCAAAGACTGCCGCCAAAGCATCTGCCACTAAACCAAAGGCACCCAAGGCAAAAACTGCAGCTGCTAAGCCCAAAAAAGCCGCAGCAGCGAAGAAGCCAGCTGCTAAGAAAGCCGCCACCAAGAAGTAATTTTTCCCAGAAAGATTACTTTTTCCACAATATTTTCGATATTCGAAAACATACTATCTAAAAGCCCTTTTCAGGGCTACAAATTAAATTAAAAAAGAGACAAATATTGCCATTTTCATATTCTCTGTCAAATTTCATTAATTTCATCCAAAAATGACATTTTGGCAAAATATTTACATTTTCCATCAATACATATTTTCCTTTGAAAATTTCTGCCTCAGCCTTATATTTCGTTGCTTTCCCGTTGTGCAGAAACAAAATGCTCACACATACGTGATGCCCATTCGATGTTGATCAACGACGGCAAGGCAAAACATCACTAACACACGCACACATATACGATGACGATGTCTGTTATAGCATATCGCACAAGCAAGCATAGAACCCAAGCAAGCAAAGGCTAAACAGAGGTACATATGCGAGTTAGCTAAATGCACGAAAAAATCACTGTATAGAGAAAAATATATTTCCTATGGAAATTTATTCGTTTATTACTAAATATCAGCAAATAAGGGGTTTCAACAAAAATATGATTTCTTGAGAATTGTTTTTTGTGGCCCTGTGAAGGCCCTTTTAAGGTAGTATTTCGACGCAAAATGAAAAATATCAAGACATTTACTTGGAGCTGGTGTATTTAGCAACAGCCTTGGTACCTTCACTGACGGCGTGCTTAGCCAATTCACCGGGCAACAATAGACGGACGGCGGTCTGGATTTCCCGACTGGTGATGGTTGAGCGCTTGTTGTAGTGGGCCAAACGAGAGGCTTCGGCGGCAATACGTTCGAAGATATCCTTGACGAAACTGTTCATGATGCTCATGGCCTTGGAGGAGATACCGGTGTCGGGATGGACTTGCTTCAACACTTTGTAAATGTAGATAGCGTAACTCTCCTTACGCTTAGTACGTCTCTTCGACTTATCGCCCTTGGTAATGTTCTTTTGGGCTTTGCCGGCCTTTTTTGCTGCTTTACTTTATTTTTTTATTTTATTTTTTTTTAGACAAAAAGGGTGGTGGAACAGCCATTGTGATAAGAAGTTCATATAAGTATGAAGAAATTACAATAAATACAGGTAACATAGACTCTTGTGCAATTAAATAATACAAGACAGAAGGTCTGCCTATAATATTTATATCTATGTATTTTGCTCCTAAAACTTCTTTTAGACCCTCCAGTCTCGATGAAATTTCAAACTTGGGTGCAAACAATGATATTGTAATTGGATGTGACCTAAATGCGAAACACAGAGACTGGGGAATAAGAATAAACAATGTAAATGGTTGTGAACTTAGGGATTGTCTATTATGTTGCCCCACATCAGTCCCACAAGGCTCAATAGAGTTGAAGACTCTTACATAGATTTCTTCATCATAACACCTGGTGTTGTAAGAACAGAACATGGTCTATTAGCAACGAAGTATTTTGAATCGGATCATAAGGCCGTCGAAATAATAATTATTATTAATAATATCCAAGCAAAAGAGATCAAGACCTACTATGATTATTATAAAATTAATATAGAAAGGTATAAGGGAAGATTAGAAGCAAAATTATTAGAACATGAGTTGCCAATATATAGAAATGCAACAATATCAGAAATAGACATTTCCATAGAAAGACTAAATATCGTTTTTAAAGAGACAATAGAAGAATGTGTCCCAAAAAAAGTATGTAAGAATTATACCTTAGGAAAATTACCATATAACATCATAAATCTAATGAAAAAAAGAAAATTTTAAAGAGGACACCATACCCGGAGAGATATAATATAATTAGAGCTGATATTAGAAATCTCGGCACAATATTAAAAGAACTAATAGCAAATTTCGAAAATAACAGGTACATATCGCATATAGAAAAAATAAAAGTAAACCCTACCACTTTTTCTAAAGTGAAAACTGCTGCAGGCCTATCTCTAAAGGGACCAATAAGTAGTATATTCAACGATAGAGGTGATCCTATAAACAATAATGAGGAAAAAGCCAATTTATTGGCTAACCATCTCCAAAATATACAACAAATAAGGGAGGGTGAAACAAACTCCACCTTCCACAATCTTGAAGTTGAAGCTGTGGAGGGAATTGAGGAACATAATCCCCTGCTAAGTTTTGGAGAAAAAATTGCAGCTGATGGCTCAATTATAGGGGATGAAGCTAAATGGAATGAGGGTGGATTTGTTAATCCTGCAGCAGTCTTAGATGCCATTAAAAAATATCGTCTAAAAAATCTAACCAAGGCTTTTAACCTTGGTTACTTTCCAAGAGAATGGAAAAAGGCCTTGGTAATACCAATTAAAACAAGTAAAATAAATACCCTCCACCATTTGGTACAAATTTAACAATTTTCAAAAAAATAAAATCCCTTAAAAATCTGTTAAAATCTTGAAAATACCTAATGTAGGCGTATATTAGAGTCTATACGACGATGTGGACCTGCATAGGCAACTTTTGTCACAAGCTATTACAATATTGAAATGCGAAACTTAAAAAAAATCTGTTTATAATGCACAGGCAATTTTCTGTCAAAGGCTGTAATATCGAACTTCACGAACTTTAAATGCGATATTTGAAACAATTCCGGTAAATATTGTCGCTAAAATCATGAACATACCGAAGATCGGGGGGTACCGATATATGGGGGCTATACGAAGGCGTGGACCTGCACAGACAACTTTCTGTGATAGGCTGTAGCATCCATTATGAAATTCAAATGCAAAATGTGAAACAATTCCGGTAAAGAACGCCGCTAAAATCATCAAAATACCGAATACTGGGAGGTACCAATATGTGGGGGCTATACGAAGACGTGGACCAATCGTGCTGGTCTTCAATTCCCCGTCGGTCGTATCCATCGTCTGTTGCGCAAAGGCAACTATGCTGAGCGTGTTGGTGCCTGTGCTCCCGTCTATTTAGCCGCTGTCATGGAATATTTGGCTGCTGAAGTCTTGGAATTGGCTGGCAATGCCGCCCGTGACAACAAGTAGACTCGTATCATTCCCCGTCACTTGCTATTGGCCATCCGTAACGACGAAGAATTGAACAAACTGCTGTCTGGCGTTACCATTGCCCAAGGTGGTGTATTGCCAAACATCCAAGCTGTTCGCTTGCCCAAGAAGACAGAAAAGAAAGCCTAAATTATTATCTCGAAAGAAGGTATTATGGAATGAAGAAGAAGAATACAGACCATCGTATAATTCCATTGAAAAATCAACCAATTCGTCCTTTTCAGGACGACAAAAAATATTTGAAAAAAGAAAGAATTGCGTCAAGCTACATTATTTGCATTAATATTAAAAAAAAAAAAAATAAAATTCTCAATATTTTTCTATGAGACGTTGGCAGAATAACTGTTTTTCATTCTCAGTTGCGTTGTTGTTGTCTCTTATGATTTCAGGAATAGAGCACGAGAGAGAGAGATCGTGGCGTCACCAAATGATGTATACCATGAAGAAGAAGAAGCAATGTGGCAGTTGGTGGTGGCTGGCTGGCTGGGTTGCAGTAATTTTATGTGAAAAAATCGTACCCCGGCGCATTCTTGGGGAAGGCACAAAGTAGACGATTTACAAGGGAATTTTGGCGGCAAAGTAGTGTTGTGGTGGAAATAAATCGACACATACATAAAATAAAACCGCATTGTGGTGCCATCGAAAATTTGGAACCAAAAAAATAGAATAAAAGTAACATAATGAAATGAAAATTAACGAAAATAATTACAAAGAAAAATAAAATAACGTAAATTAACAACTAAATTAAAATAAAATAAGAAAATTTTTAAAAATTAAGGCAAATATTAATGAAAATTTAAGCAAATTTTAACGAAAATATTTGAAAAAAAAAATTAAAGAAATTTCGAATAATAAATAGATTTTATGAAAATAAAAGATACTTTAAATGAAATCACAAATTTTTAAATTAATAGTAAGGAAATATATAAAATAATATTAAATTAATAATAAGAAAATAAGCAAAATAATTTTAAATAAAACGAAAATGTGATTTAAAAAAAAAAAATCTAATGAAAAATTAAATAGAAATTAATTGAAAATTAAATAAGAAAATTTATAATAAATAAAATAAAATTCGTTTAATGAAGAATTTTTAAATAAAATTCAATTATTTTAATTTTCGATACAATTTTAAAAGAAATTATTAGTGAATAATTTACAAATTTTTAATGAAATTTTTGAAGGTAATATGAATCAACGATCTATTTAATAAAAATATTCAACAATTTCAAATTAAATTTTGAGAAAAGATTCAACAATATTTAAAAAAGTGAAAATGAAATTCCTTTGCTACTACAGCATGGTCGTTCTTTACTAATATCTAGCGAAGCTATGTTATACTCATGTTATACGAAAAAGAAGAAGAAGAACAGCTAAATGTGTTTAGCGATGTGAGTTGCCGACGGCATGTTTATGATCGGGAATCAAATACGAGACATCGGTAAAAGAAGGTTTTCGGTGAAAATATTCTGGAGAAAATTGAAACGAGTAAGTATTTATATTTTTTATTTATTTGATTTTTAGACATTTTTCACGAATTGTGAGAAAAAAGTACGAGAAAGCTGAAAAAGAAAAATATTAGAAATTTTGACATAAAATTCCTAAACTTCCTAAGGTAAGTGTTTTTTTTATTTATTTTAATTAAAAAAAATAGTTTTCAACAAGAAAGTATCTCTTTTTTGATATATTTTGTGGTCCTGAAAAGGACCGATTGTTTTGTTGTAAAAAAAGATTTCTCCAAATTGCGTCAAGAATTTGTTTAACCGCCGAAACCGTACAAGGTACGACCTTGTCTCTTCAAAGCATATACGACATCCATAGCGGTGACGGTTTTACGCTTAGCATGTTCGGTGTAGGTGACAGCATCACGAATAACGTTTTCCAAAAACACCTTCAGAACACCACGAGTTTCTTCGTAAATCAGGCCAGAGATACGTTTTACACCGCCACGACAAGCCAAACGTCTAATAGCTGGCTTGGTAATACCTTGGATGTTATCACGGAGCACTTTCCTGTGACGTTTAGCGCCACCTTTTCCCAAGCCTTTACCACCTTTACCACGACCAGTCATTTTTTCACTTTAGTTTATTTCACTTATCACTTCACGATAGCACAAGAACTAATGTTGTTTCCGGATGATTCCGCTCGTATTTATACAAAATTTGAGGCTCTCTCCAACTATTGAACGCACAAGTAAAGTATGTACAGTTATATGTGTGTGTGTACATTTGCCGTTAGTATTGTATGTTCTCTTTTGTGAATTCACTAACATATCAACCCCGAAAGTTGATGCTAACAGCACAATTTTCTATAAATACTCGTTTTAGTGGCGGTGGCAACGTTATTACAGTGTCTACCGTGTTTGTGTGCAGATCGTGAAATAACATCTCTTCGGCAGTGTTAATTCGTGTATATTGGTGGTTAATCATAGTGGTGTTCATTGTGGTTTTGGTGGTTGGTCGTAGTGGCGTTTGCTGTGCTGTGGTGGTGGATTGCAGTGGCTGTTACTGTGCTGTGGTGGTGGTTTCATAAGGCAAAATTTGGTTTGGGTCTCTCAAAAAGTTGAGAAGCCCATAGAAGGCAGCAAAATTGGAATTTTGCTGATTATAAGGCACAAACACTAGAGAACGAGCAGTGGTGGTTGGTGAAGACCAAAAATCAACAGTGCTGGCGGGAAACCCCAAAACCGTCAGCACCCCAAAGTCGACGGCGAATATTTTCAACGCCGTCAAAAGTGAAAGAGGCGCGATTTTTGCCATAGAGAAAATGGCAGAAAAGCAGGCGGTTATGCCGGTAAAAGACAACCCTACCGGCATAAAAATTGAAGCAGAGGGTATATTTGTCAAGCCAAAAATGGCAAATATACTCAAAAAAATGGATGGTTGCGCATCTGATGGTGCAACGAGCGACGGGGGCCAATCTATTAGCTCCGATGTGGTTAGGCAGCCACGTAAAAAACGCTGCCATTGCAACGTAGGCAATTCTGCCTACGATAATGTGAAGCTGGAAGCTACAATACGCCAGCTTGAAGCCCGAATTGCTCACTTAGAGCAAGAAAGGAGCCGTATGGCAGCAGAGCTGGCTGCTGCCAACCAAGCGCTAGCCAAATGCGCTAAGATTGGCCCCTCCAGCAAGGAGACCGTAATGGCTACCGAGGCAGCCGTAGACCTCGGTATGGCGGATGATGAAATGGAGGTCGTTCCGTCAGAGATTGAAAAGAAGAAGACCTCCAAAGGTGCTGTCCCCAAAGTACGGTACGTACTGAAGGAAGTTACGGAGAAGGTTCAACCACCCAAAACTACCCCCTTGGTGGTTGATAACAAGACTGCTGCTGCTGTTGCTGTTCCCGCTGCTGTTCCTGCTGC